CCAGGCTACGTAAGAAGCATTCCTTTTTCCCTAATGCAATATAGACTCGCCCAGAGTGGACGCGACCACGAGTCGGCGCAATCGAGATTTGAAAGCCAACTATTTAGTCATAACCCAAGCAGTTAGCCAATTTGTTGCCGAGTTTGCAAATTGGCTGCCTCAATACTTCTGAGACTTGCTGTAAATGACTTCAATTGCTTTGTTGTGTGAGCACATCAAGTTTTTAAACACACTTACCACAAAAACAATGAATGGTATACACAGAAGAACATTGTCAATGCCAACACCGTTATTTGACCTTTATAGAAAAAGTTTGATAAATTTTGAGAAAAGTCAAAATAATGAGAAATATAGTAGGAAAAATTAAAAATGCTGTAACTCATTCGGCGTGTGCTTCTAATAGAGCTAATACGATATATACTTATTGGAATTATGTACATGTAAAATCAGTACATTTGCATTATAAAATATAAATATTTATAATATAAGAACTGTTGAGCAATAAAAAAAAATGCTTGGTGTTACACTTGCTTTGTGCTGCAACTACCATACTTTCCCGAGTATAAGCCCAGGGGCCTGAACATGTAAAATGGGGAAAATTAGGGGGTTGGCTTATACTCGAGGACAAGCTCAGAAAAGATAATTTTTTGGGGGATTTAAAATTGTAACCATCTTCCCAACCACGAAAAATTATCCAAATTACATTTTTCATTCACAATGACTGTCTCAGAGAAATAACAAGAAGAAGAAACAAACATGTTCATAAAAATACACACATTTTATTACAATACCGTTTACATACCGTCTGAATTTACAATGCAAAAATGCATAGGGTCTGTGGGAAAACATTCAAAGGCAAAATCTTTATCATTATCTTCTTTGTGGAATGTTTTTGATTGTACGCAAATTCTCGATACAAAGCAGTCATGGTGTTTTTCATCATGATTTGACCTGAACAGCTTCCTTTGACCTAACACGTCTTTCGTTAACCAATCAAAATGATGTGTCGTACAGACAAAGTAAAAGTAATTTTTTTCAACGCAATGCGGAAGTGAATTACCACGATGTTAAAAAGCGATCTGACTTCAACATAAAACTGATTTTTTCCCTAAAGCTGTTGATTCGCAATTTTTGAAAGGTAAACTGAGGGTGGAGGAAGTATTTAAACTTTTCACGGTCGCCAACAAGTCATGTCGAAGAATAGTTTGCTCGTTTACATCCCATTCACGAAAGTCTCAATGGATTATTCGGAAAAGCAAAACGATGTTCAATGCCCACGTTTCACGACTTGACGATCACATTTTTGGCGTTTCTAAAACCACTACTCAAAAGAAATATGGATAACTTCAGTATTGCAACATCAGGGTTCATCCTGAGTAAATAACAGAATAGAAAAGGTGCGAACCATGTTCCGTACGTTCGCCGGCCATGCACTCTGAAATTAATGCTAGATTTCTCGTAAAAGCAGGAACCAAACTACCATACCAATCACGATTATTATGCAATGAAATACACTTTTTACATGCATATTTGTAATAAATGTTGTTGACGGCCGGTAAAAACACTCTGGGCCTATACTTGTAGATGCCCTCAACCTGTTAAATGTCTGAAAACAGAGGGTGGGCTTTTACTTGGGAGAGGGGCTTATGCTGGGCCTACATGTATAAGCAGATATGGGATAATTTGTGATTGGTGATAATCCGGTCATTGATCTTTACACTTCTTCTAGGAAATTGTAGATCAAGTAGTACTGTATTTGAAAGAGGTAGCCATTACTACTTATGATTTCAACTAATAGCTTCTTGAGTTTGTATTTGAAAATTATAAAAATTGATAGCTGTTTGTAAATGTTTACATATGTAGGGTTTCTATATTCACGAAAAGCAATTTTACACAATATTACCGATAGTAATTTTCATATACTCTCTTCTTTCCTGTCTACAGTGTAGAATTTAGACTAGTTAGT